TCTAGTTAGGGAGCTCACTATGTTTTGAGACATAGCCTTATATCTTGCGGTGAAGAGACTCATTCAGAACTCTAATTACAGCCTGACACTGGGTTCTGGACAGTAAGACTAACATGACTTCATATGAACGCAAACATAAGCTTTAAATTGTAATATTTAAATATGATATTTTATATGACATTAGTTAAAGCTTTTGCTGTCTGTCTATTCATTCAGTTATGTGTTCAGTACTTTAGAGTGTAAAAGATCACATGGTCACCAGCTTTGTGAAAAGTCACTCAAATTTAATTGTGAATATTCCATTATCAAACATGTTCACACACACACACACACACACACACACACACACACACGTTTAAATATAATGGTTTCTATACTGTAAACTGTATATTCTCTCCCCTCACACTAACCCGACCCCTAAACCTGCCCATCACAAAAAACTTTCTGCATTTTTACATAAAAAACAACAACCTTTATAATATATTATTTTATATATATATATATATACGTATATATATATATATATATATATTATTTTTATACCAGATTTACAAATGAGGACGTCCCTAAAGAGAGTTTTTTGGAGATTTTGGTCACTTCTGGGTACAAATTTGTCCCCAAAATATAGTTAAGTAGGTAAACACACACAAAATAGTTAAGTGGGCGCACACACACACACACACACACACACACACACACACACACACACACACACACACACACACGTTTACTTAGCTATCAAAATAGGGACATTTCATAGACATAATGGTTTCTATACTGTACAAATTCCCTTCACACTAACCTGACCCCTATACCCATCACACAAAACTTTCTGCATTTTTACATAAACATTTTTTTTTAATTACTTTATTTTTATACCCACACACACACACAATCATGTTCATAAGAGCGGAAATGCATGAAATATCTCTTTCTCTCTCTCCCAGCACTGGCAGAAAGAGCATCATGGGAATGCTGTTAAACCACACATATTGTCTCTCAATCCCAGAATGCTTTCATTTATAGCCAGTGTTTGTAATTAAGGGTCATGCAGTGGTGTATTTAAATCAGACTGTATTGCAGAAGGCCTGTGTTTGTACAGCTAAGCTCTTCTCACAGACCGGCCTGTAGTTCTCTGAGGATGACTGAGTGAGAGTGAGAGTGTTCAGGACGTGCGGCTGAACAATCGTGGTGTATTTTTAGAGCGTTTCTGTTGCTTGTTCTCTTTTCATTCTGACGTCCTGTTCCTCTCACTTTCATCTTGGAACTGGTTTAACTTTTCTTTTCTTTTCTTTTTTTTTACTCTTTTGAAGCTTTAAAAAATCCTCTTTACTTTCATTCCAGGTCTTATTTTGCCCAATCCATTTGTGCTCATGTATTCCAAAGAAACATATTCTTTCTTTACTTTAAAATTCAATAACACTTGACAATAACACAATAATCTTTTTTGTCGGCCTCACATAAGCCACCACAATAGCTTAAAGGGATAGTTCACTTTGAAATTAATTTTTGGTATGTTTTAGCTTACCTCAAGGGCATCCAAGATGTAGGTGTCTTTGTTTCCACAGTAGTTTCAATTTTGATATTTTTAGGTCAAACCGTTCTTGTCTGTCAGTCATATAATGCAGGTCTATGGTCACCACCTCAAAGAGCATGCACAGAGAAGTCCAAATTAAACATGATTTAATGACTCGTAAATGTAAGTACACATTTATGGCCTAAGACACGAAACGAGCGGTTTGTGTGAGAAAACGAACAGTATTTATATCGTTTTTACCTCTTGTAACCACAGCCACGTCCAAGTGATCTGAGGGCGCGGGCGCTTCGGTCTGTGCAAGCACCGTAAGTGATCTCTCTGAAAAAAATCAACGTTGTCTGTTGATATATTGAAATCGTCTTCCATTGCGATTTCCTGTATATCTAAATCTGTTTAGATCTTCACAGTGAAAGGTAACACTTCCGAAATCTCTGTGTAAACAATGAGTGACGTACATGCGCGTGAGATCACTTCCGGCGCTTTCCGGTGCTTGCACAGACCGAAGCGCCCGCGCCCTCAGATCACTTGGACGTGGCTGTGGTTACAAGAGGTAAAAACGATATAAATACTGTTCGTTTTCTCACACAAACCTCTCGTTTCGTGTCTTAGGCCATAAATGTGTACTTACATTTACGAGTCATTAAATCATGTTTAATTTGGACTTCTCTGTGCATGCTCTTTGAGGTGGTGACCATAGACCTGCATTATATGACTGACAGACAAGAACGGTTTGACCTAAAAATATCAAAATTGAAACTACTGTGTGGAAACAAAGACACCTACATCTTGGATGCCCTTGAGGTAAGCTAAAACATACCAAAAATTAATTTCAAAGTGAACTATCCCTTACAGTGAAATATCTGTTAAGTCATTGTTTTAGGCTACTGTTGTAATGAAGCCTTTGTAATATATTACCAATAGTTAACACAATAATTAGATGTATTCAATTATTTAAATTATGTAATATATTAATGAATACTTCAGTGATTTAAAATAATGATAGATTTGAAATAGAAACATATCTGTGGAGATGCTTTGGAGGGTGAAAAATGACCTTGTCGCAAACAAGTGGTGTTAACAAGCTTCCATAATATGGTGATAATTGAAATTGTGGCAAACACCACTAATAAAATTCACCCAGTAAGTCATCATCTGTTTCTCACTTCCTCTCCTCTTTCATGTTTCTCACATCTACTTGCTGGTTTTCTCACCTCTGATATCTGCAAATCTTGTCTGTACAGGAGGTTTTTGTTTGACATGTAACTGTGTCTGTAGAGCTCCTCATAACTGCGGGTAGATTAAGATCATGTTTAAAATCCCTGATGCAAATAAGAATTTTGATGCATCATATTTCCTCTAGTTTTGACACAGAAGTCACATTGTGTATAATTTATAAAGGAATCATCCAGGTTTAATTTGTGCATTTGTGGTATAATGTGCATTACTACAGACTTTTCACAAAATAAGCACAAAATTGTAGGTACAGTACTTACAATGGGCGTACACAAGGAAACACAGTAAACGTTAAAATACTGTAATTCAATGTAGATCACAAGACTGAAACATTCCATGCAATATGTCCAAAGTTAAGCATGTAAACACAGACAATGATGCATGACACAAGGAGAAAAATCCAAACAGGAACTAGTGAAGAATAACTGGAAGATGCAAATGATTTAAAGGACTCTACAGCTCAAAATAACACAGTTTTGCATTAAAAAAAAGAGCACTTAAAAAAAACATGCCTTAATGCTTTACCAGATTTTACATCAGTTATTTTGCGCTATATATATAAACCCATATATAGAGTTTACCTGTTATGTTCCTTCGTTTAGTGTGTATTGCTGTACCATTCTCTGATATAATGTGAGCTGTGTTCATATCACACACACAGGGCTTGAATTGAAGATGTGTGTCTTGAGACCAAAATAAACTAAATGTAGAGAGAGAGAGAGAGAGAGAGAGAGAGAGAGAGAGAGAGAGAATTATGCAAAGGTTATGAGTGAAAATCTGAAAAGGCCATAGACTGTCTGTAGCATTGTGATAAATCTGTTCTGTTTGATGCTGATCGGGCCATTTTCATGCTGTGGACTGGTGTATTTTTCCCAATAAAAGAACAAAATAACTGCTGAATCATGCTCTGAATCACACTCCCAAAATATCCTCTGGAGTCGTCGTATAGGCTTATTCCCATTGCGAGCGGGTTGTGTGGTTCGTGACGTGGGGCGGCAGTAGATCAGAACAGGGGAGTTATTGAGGAGCTCAGCCAAAAGAAATCCTGTGAAGTGGCAGGGTGTGGTGGTACACAAAACCCTTAAAAAAACCTCCCTCGGGATTCTGGGTAATGACCCGCAAACAGTGTGTGTGTGTGTGTGTGTGTGTGTGTGTGTGTGTGTGTGTGTGTGTGTGTGTGTGTGTGTGTGTATGTGTGTGTCAGCGAGTGAGACTGAGATTAGGGATCCAATAATAGCTCAATGTTAAAGGAAGTCTCTTGAGTCAAATAATGATGCACAGATATTAGTCAGCATCTACAACAAATAATTATCTTTTTAGTTGTTGTGATTGATAAACGTTATTTTAAATCTGTTCAAAACTATGCTCTGGCAACTACCCACAACATACTAGCATCATACCAGTTAGCTGTACATGGGCAAAGATCATAAAAAACTAGTTAATACTGTCAGTTCATGTGTTTAGTTTAGTTAAATCAGCAGAGTTATCTTAGTGTTTATATCATACTACACTGAAAAATATTTTGATGTAGAAACAACTCTGAAATTTTCACTCAGAAATTGTAATTTCACAATTAAGGACAAAATAAATTAAACAAAATATTTTGAAGTTTTTTGAAATTTTCTTGAAATACACGTTCCAATTATCTCTGTTCTATGTAAAACTTTTAAAAAAACAACCAAAAAAATTTAGTAATATTTTGAATTAGCATTTGTTCGTATATTTTTTATAGTTTTTAAGTCACTTTATTATTATTTTTTAAAATTATATTTAATATTATATTACATTTAATATTTATTTTATATATATATATATATATTATTATATTTTTGTCAATATTTCTATTTAGCTTTAGTTGTTTTTTTTATACTTTTAATACTTTAATACTTATTTTAATACTTCAACATTTCATTTCAGATGCCAGTGTAGCTTAATTAAATGATTGAATTAATTATTAACACTTTTCATCAGATTATGAAAGACAGAAGAGGTTTAAATATTCCCTCTGATTTGGCGAAGACATTCTCTCATTTTTAATTCATGATAATACCCATTTTCATTTTAAAATGCTGATTACTTTGAATAATTTAAGTCACAGACCGAAATGTCTCCTAGTTCTGTGTTCCTGATTCATACATCACCTGTGTGCTCGTTGTCCTCCTGTCTTCAGGTGATTACCGCTGCGTGGTGTCCTCATCACTTTACACCTCTTCTCGCCTCACACTTCCTGACATCAACATGACCTCGTCCCTGCAGCCCGAGACACCCAGCAGGAATCAGACCCAGTCCTGGACTAACCACAGCAGCAGCACTGAGCCCACGCCTCGCACAGGCTCCACGGCAGGTACAACATTCATCCATCTGGCAACTATTTCAACTCATTAAAACAATTTGGATGGTTAAATCATAGATATCCATAATAAAGGCTAGATGTATCGTCCGCGCTGCTGGCCAATGGAGGTCGACGTCCGCACCTGGCGGCCATCTTGTCACAGGCAGCTCGCTCACTCACAACATTGTGTTTTAATGGCGCATGTACTTTTTAAATAACCATAACTTGCTCAATTTTCTACCGATTTTCAAACGGTTTGGTTTGTTATAAACGTCAGAGATGTAGTTATGACACTGCATACTTATGAATAATAAGTGTATAAATAAATAATCATCCAGAATTATAGCCACGTTAATAACGTTTGTAAGAAACCAAACCGTTTGTAAATCCATCAAGATTTCAACCAGATAAGAGTATTTGTGTTCGTGCTGATCATTTATCTCACATCAGGTACCACAGAGCCTTGCCTGTGACAAGATGGCCGCCGGTGATGACGATAGAGACTCCGCCGTAAGACATCTAGCCTTTATTATGGATATCAATGGGTTAAATAACCCAGCATTCCCAAGCGGAAAACCAACCTTGCAACATGGGGACTTATGCTGCGTTCCAGGCAGGTTTTTGAGCACGTAAATCACGACTTCAAACCACGACTCACGACTTTATAGCATTCCAGGCCAGTCACGCCAAACTACCCGAGCGCAAGGAATTGTGGTAGCTAGATGTAAACAAACCAGCATGGCGGACCTTACGGGGCTTATGCGCATTTTGTAATCATTTCTGTCGCCAAAGGTGCTTACTCGAGGGAAAACTAGTTAACGTTATATTGCCCTAAAGTGTATTGTCACCGTGTACCGCCTGCAGAAACAGTGCATCCGTAGGGGCTGCCATTGTTGTTTTGTATGGTTTCGCATGCTATGTGACGTCAGAGCTGGTAACTGGGAGTACATCGATCTAGTACGAGTACACGAGTATAATGTTGGAAAAACACGGGTTACAGGTTGCCTGGAACGCAGCATAACGTCCCGGTAAGTTGGAAATAGGAAGTCTCGTGAGAAGCGAGAACGAGCGAGAAACACGAACTGCTTTATGGCAATTCGACATAATTCTATGATACTGTGTATGATGTATTACCCACCTCGGTAGACATAGCTCCACACGATAAAGTTGGCCGGCTCCGATAATAACAAATGCACATGAGCAGCGGTAGAAAGCGGGAGGAAGGTGAGTTTTTTTACGACAGTGTTGTGAAAATATACACCGCACAGCTGTAGGGGGAGCTCGTTGAGACAACATGCGACAACAACAGTGAAATGGTTAGAGTTGCCAAGTTCCCCTTTAATCAGAGATTAACATTGCCGTGGAAACCCCAATCTGATAGGCTTTAACTGAGTTAAAGACTGCAACAACACGCGATTGTGAGAGAGAACTAATCGCTGGATTTGAAACATATTCAGTCATATTCAGTCTCTAAAATAATCTGTACACTGTAGGTGAAAAACGGGAAAGGTTTGGTGATTTTCTGCCAGGACATAATCCGTTTATTTTACAGACATGTGCTTTAACCCTAAAACACAACAGGTAATGTATAAATCAAAATGAGTGTAAAAATCAATACGGAAAATTCCTTCATATTACCAGTGCCCTATTTTTATGGATATTTCTTAAAGTGTACTTAATAGTTTTATTTAGCAGTGTTTGTTATTGTTAAAGTCCCCCTGTAGTCAATAATTGTATCCCTTAAAACTCATCTTTGATCACCAAAATTACATATTTAAAAGTTTTTTCCTTGAAAGAAAATTCTTCATGTCTTGTCATAGCTTGAATGTAACTCTACACCCTTGCCTCATTTAGTATACGTGGTTCTCTGAATATGCAAATGAGCCCCGGCTCTACTCACTCACTCAGCTCAGAGATCCACTCGTTGACGATCACACGTTGATCTGATTGGTTACAAGGAAGTTTGTGACGTCAGAAACACCAGCGATTTCAAACCACGTCTTTTTTCACTGCAGTTTTAAGGACAAAATACTCAGCAATGGTGTTGACATGAATTTGCACATGGTTTGTCTTAAAGCATATTAAAAACACCACATAGACATATAAACAACATTAAAAGCTTGATTTTCACCACAGGGGGACTTTAACTGAAATTAAAACTGTTAAAAATTATTTTCAGTAATTGACTAAATAAGGTAACACTTTACAATAAGGTTTCACTTGTTAAGATTAGTTAACTTCATAATTTAACTTGAACTAACAATGAAAAACAGATTTAAACCGTTTATTAATCTTAGTTAATGTTAATTTCAACATTTACTAATACATTATCAAAATCAAAAGTTGAATCTGTTAATATTATTTAATGGACCTCAGCTAATATTAATGATAATGAACAGTTTACAAAAATGCATAAATACTGTAACAATATATTGCTCCGTTAGTTAAGGCATTAACTAATGGGACCCTATTGTAAAGTGTTACCTAAAGTGAAATATAAATATTAGATTAAAAACTTGGCAACTAACTGAAATAAGGTTGAAATACTAAAATTACTAAAACTAAAATAAAAATAAATTAAAGCAAAATAGAATAAAAAAACAAAACATTTTACAAATGCACAAACTACTAAAAATGTAAATGAAAACTGAAAATTTACAGCTGATTTAAATTTTTCAATAAATATTATTTAAATAATAAAAGAACACTGTTCAGACAAATATCAGAATCAGTCTACACATATTTTCTACTAATTTCATCTGTACAAACTTTTTATTGACACTACCATAGAATAAAACCTAAGAATAAAAATTCTGTCATCATTTACTCACCCTCATGTCGTTCCAAACACAAATGACAAATTAAGTCATCATTCACTAAAAATCACTCAAATCACATTCCTGCAGTTTCAAAATAAAAATCGCAACAGGTTTAGAACTACATGTGAGCAAATTAATGAAGTGTCATGATTCATTGGGTAAATTCTTCCATAAAACCACTTAAAGGTGCTGTAAGTGATTTCTGAGAAACACTGGTGAAATCAACCCAAACAAACACACCCCTGACTTCATTGCTCCACCCCCAAAATGCATGAACACGCAATGCAAGAGTGGATGTGTCTTTAGAAGAACAAAAAACAAACAAACAGTACACAAGAGTATAAACAAGCAAGAGTTTGTTGTTAGTCGCCTGCAGCAGCTCCAGGCAAACAATGACACTAATCATGAGTGGACAAGCCCCCTCATGCTAATTGGCTCGCTCTCTCTTCTCCCCTTCACGAGTGGACACGCCCCCTATTGCTGATTAGCTCACTTTCCTTCCCCACCATGAGTGGACACGCCCCTACTGCTGATTGGCTCACTCTCTCACCTCCCCCATCATGAGTGGACACACCCCCTATTGCTGATTAGTTCACTTTCCTTCCCCATCATGAGTGGACACGCCCCCTATTGCTGATTAGTTCACTTTCCTTCCCCATCATGTGTGGACACGCCCCCTACTGCTGATTGGCTCACTCTCTCTCCTCCCCCATCATGAGTGGACATGCCACCTACCGCTGATTGGCTCACTTTCCTTCCCCATCATGAGTGGACCCGCCCCCTACTGCTGATTAGTTCACTTTCCTTCCCCATCATGAGTGGACACGCCCCCTATTGCTGATTAGTTCACTTTCCTTCCCCATCATGTGTGGACACGCCCCCTATTGCTGATTAGTTCACTTTCCTTCCCCATCATGTGTGGACACGCCCCCTACTGCTGATTGGCTCACTCTCTCTCCTCCCCCATCATGAGTGGACACGCCCCCTATTGCTGATTAGCTCACTTTCCTTCCCCATCATGAGTGGACACGCCCCCTACTGCTGATTAGTTCACTTTCCTTCCCCATCATGTGTGGACACGCCCCCTATTGCTGATTAGTTCACTTTCCTTCCCCATCATGTGTGGACACGCCCCCTACTGCTGATTGGCTCACTCTCTCTCCTCCCCCATCATGAGTGGACACGCCCCCTATTGCTGATTAGCTCACTTTCCTCCCCATCATGAGTGGACACACCCCCTATTGCTGATTAGCTCACTTTCCTTCCCCATCATGAGTGGACACGCCCCCTACTGCTGATTGGCCCACTCTCTCTCCACCCCCATCATGAGTGGACACGCCCCCTACTACTGATTGGCTCACTCTCCTCCCCCTTCACTAGTGGACACACCCCCTACTGCTGATTGGCTCACTCTCTCTCCTCCCCCATCATGAGTGGACACGCCCCCTACTACTGATTGGCTCACTCTCCTCCCCCTTCAGTAGTAGACACACCGCCTACTGCTGATTGGCTCACTCTCTCTCATCCCCCTTCACTAGTGGACACGCCCCCTACTGCTGATTGGCTCACTCTCTCTCCTCCCCCATCATGAGTGGACACGCCCCCTATTGCTGATTGGCTACTAGCGTGCTGTGCTTCTCGGTCCGATCCACCTTTAACAGTGTTTCTCAGAAATCACTACTGCACCTTTAACTACCACCCCTGACATCAGAAAACAGATCATTTATAAAATAATCTGTGGCTCTGAACTGCAACTGCAATAGAAAAAGGCATAAAGGAGGAGTGTGAGAAAGAGAGACAGTGAGTAAATGCAGTGTGAGATCTGACGGGAGAGTGTGAGAGTTTGAATCCTCATGACACACAGCACATACAGCTCAATGCTGTTCACACACACTCACATGCACACGTCTTACATGCACAGACACGCACTGTGAATCGATGAAAGATCTCTCCAACACACCATTAAAAATTATTATTATTTAATTATGTGTTAAAAAACCCGGCTGTGTTCAGAGGAAATACTACAAGGAAAAACATTTGGTGTAGAACATTTTTTTCTTAAAGGGATAGTTCACCCAAACATGAAAATTGTCATTAATTACTCACCCTCATATTGTTCCAAACCCGTAAGACTTTTCAATTTCAATTTTTTCCCATTTAATTTGTTCATCATATAAAGCAATCGAGTCTTCAGAAAATTTTGGACTAAACCGCTCAAATCATATGGATTAGTGTTACGATCTCTTTATGTACTTTTTGAAGCGTCAATGTCAATTGTGAAATATTGATTGCAATTTAAAAGAACTGTTTTCTATTGTAATATATTTGAAAATGTAATTTAAATGAATTTTCAGCATCATTAATCCTTCAGTGTCATTAGAAATCATTCTAATATGCTGATTTTCTGCTCAAGAAACATTTCTGATTATTATCAATGTTGAAAACAGTCGTGCTGCTTCATATGTCTGTGGAAACGTGATACATTTTTTCCAGGATTTTTTGATGAATAGAAAGTTCAACAGCATTTATTTAAAATTAACATTTTAAATGTATTTTACTGTCACTTTTGATCAATTTAATGCATCCTTGCTGAATAAAAGTATTTATTTCTTTAAAACCAATCTTAGTGACCCCACGCTTTTGAATGCATGGTAGCATACACTGCAGAAATAGTAGTAGTATGCTAGATAGTGATATTGTGAACACAGCCCCTCTCTCTCTTTCTCTAAAGAACTCACACATATGTGGCAAACATTCAGTGTTTTCACATTCAGATCATTGCAAAACAACCAATTCCAGTGGTTCCTCATATCTGGTTGACAAACACATGCAAAAAACTCAATTTACATGTTCCTGTCTTTCCACAGGGGGAGAAAAGACAATCAAATTATCAAAATACTACAAAATACAAATTTCCTTTTTCTGACATCACCAAGCCCTTCTTATTTTGCATCCCTTCCCCCATCCGTCATTAAGAGACCACTTTTCACAACCCAACCTCCTCCTGATGGATTAAAACAAGTCTAACCCTGCGATTTATTTGACTCACTGAGAATATAATGTTTCACTCAGACATAAGTCACAGTGAAGGACTTGGAAATGCTTTGTATCTTGAACAAAGACTCAAGGAAAAGGCATCACCAACCAAAGAAACAGCATTGAACATGCAGCCGCTTGTTGAGTCATGTGCTCATGAATTTAACTGTAAAAAGCCCAAAGCTACACTTCATCTGGCATTATTCAGCTCAGTTTGTATATTTTTAATGATTTCACAACATTCAGATCCTTCATATGCTGTCATGTTTGTGTAATTATGCAGAGGCCACCATGGAAACATGGTAATAATTACACTTCTGGCCCACTTGGGATGTCATGCACTCATTTTTTTATTTTTGAGTGGGCATCAGTCCTGACTTTGTGCAATAGACGAGATAAGACACGACCAAAGGGGTGAAAACTTTTTAACAATATAACAGTTCTTCATGAAAGTATACAGTGTACAGTTAAGTTTTTTTCAACAAGAAATGAACACTTTTATAGTAGTATGCAAGTATGCATTCAATCGATCAAAAGTGACAGTAAAGACATTTATAATGTTAGAAAAGATTTTAATTTCAAATTGAAATTTCTATTCATTAAAGAATCCTGAAAAAAAAGTGAAAGGTGTATACACAGTTTCTAGAAATATAAAGCAGCACAACTGTTTTCAATATTGATAATAATAATAATAATTATCAATATTGAAAACAGTTGTGCTGCTTTATATTTAATAATAAATGTTTCTTGAGCAGCAAATCAGCATCTTATAATGATTTCTGAAGGATCATGTGACACTGAAGACTGGAGTAATGATGCTGAATATTCAGCTTTGATCACAGGAATAAATCACATTTTACAATATATTCACATAGAAAACAGTTATTTTAAATTGTAATCATATTTCTGTTTATAACTGTTTTTACTGTATTTTTCATCAAATAAAAGTAGTCCTTATTTATGTCCGTAATTTACTGAATTATAATTGTCCAGCTTTTATTGGAAGTCGGAGGGTGAGCGACACTTAGTTTGTGTGTGTTTGCTGTCTTGATGCCATCAGGGACGGTGGAGACCTCACTCGCTCCAGCGGAGAACCTCACTTTCTCTGGGAACATCACAGACAGTCGAAATGGGTCTGATGTGTCACCTGTGGATAATCAGACAGCAGCAGTTACCATGGCAGGACCTACAACACCTACTACACTCCTGCCATCAACGACCCATGAGCCCACAAACACCGTCCACATCATTAGCACCTTCCACACTCCTCCTCCTGAAACCACCAGAGCTCCAGAAGTGACCAGCTCAGGGTCGACAAGCGCTCATCCCAGACAGAAATCCTCTCCGACAGCGTCATCACCCACATCATCCGCCTTCCCCGCGGTCAACACACAGATGTCAGCGAGCAGCAGTCCCGTCCAGGTCAAAGCCCACGCGGACACACCCTCGGCACTGAACGTCGGAGACGACGGTACGTGAAAACAGTGGCTATTCCTGCTTTTCCTTAAAGGGATAGTTCACCCAAAAATGAAAATTAGCCCATGATTTACTCACCCTGAAGCCATTATAGGTGTATATGACATTCTTCTTTCAGACGAATACAATCAGAGTTATATTAAAAAATGTCCTGGCTCTTCCAAGCTTTATAATGGCAGTGAATGGGTATATATTTTTTTGAAGTCCATGAAAGCGCATCCATCCATGATTAAAGTGCTCCACACGGCTCTGGCGGGTTAATAAAGGCCTTCTGAAGTAAAAGCGATGCGTTTGTGTAAGAAACATATCCATATTGAAAAGTTTATCGACTAAAATAACTAGCTTCCGGCAGACGGCCGTACGCAAGTCGACTGTTTGAGTCGAACAGGTCAGGTGTCCACTGTCAATAGTGTAGTGATGTCTGAAGCACCGCTCGCCTCACACAGAAATCACTGTCAAGCCAAGCTTTCTGTTGGTCAGCCGGCGGATTCGCGTGACCAGATTGAACATGAGCCAAATCTGCGCGGGGAACTTTTCCGCCCCTATGCAAAACTCCCGATCACACATAATAATACACACAACGGATTTCACCTGCCAAATTTCGCTGAGCAACCGTAAATCTGACGGTCTTTTAGAATGCAAAAAATTATTAAATATAAGTATTAAGATAAGTATTTTATCTTGTTTTTTAGTAACCAAAAAAATCCCAAAAGCAAGATATGTAGTCCTCATGCAGTTGTAAATGTAAGACTTTTTTAGCAAATATGATTTACACTTATTATATTAAATATATATTACACTTACATATATATTTATATAATATATTTAAATCAAAATACACTTAAAGCAACACCAAGGAACTTTTCCTCTGCGGTCGCCCTACAGGTTGGAAGCGGAATTGTCCATTACCGCTGTCGTAAATAATTTATCCTAACACAGCCTACTGTCGCACGCGCACGCTCGCTGTTTATCCAGACATCACAACCTGCAAGAAGTTATTTCAGGGAGGTATATCTTGGTGACTGGATTGTTGACCGGGGGGGGGTGGCGGGTTGACTAGCTTTCGTGAGGCACACTCACAAGGTCTCTCGCTCTCTCCCTCTCTGCCGCGCTATGCATGTTATGTTCTGTCTCGCATGCGCGCTCTAGATTCCGGCAGATTTTAACTAATTTGCGGGCATCAGGGAGTCTTGGGATGTCTGCAATGGCCATAGACATTTTGAGGAAGTGGTGGGGGAAGTGACGTATGCCGTAAAGCAGTCGAGTTTTGTAGTTCTTTTTGTGCTCCGGTTACTACCCGAAACCCGAAGTTACATAGTGCGAGTAAAAGCGATACAGACCACGTCAGGCTATGGCAGACGAGTCATTTAACCTATTGTAAGTCGATGTACCATCACAAGGGTCTTGGAAATATATTATAAAGGTTGAAAAGTTCCATAGTGTTGCTTTAAATATAATGCATTTATTAAATATAATTAGTATAAACTATTTATCAGTACTTTTCTCAGTATGAATTATTAATATTACAGATATTACACTTAATATATTTATGTACATATAATGCATTTAAATATGATGTAATTATATATATATATATATATACACACTCACCGGCCACTTTATTAGGTACCCCATGCTAGTAACGGGTTGGACCCCCTTTTGCCTTCAGAACTGCCTCAATTCTTCGTGGCATAGATTCAACAAGGTGCTGGAAGCATTCCTCAGGGAGTTTGGTCCATATTGACATGATGGCATCACACAGTTGCCGCAGATTTGTCGGCTGCACATCCATGATGCGAATCTCCCGTTCCACCACATCCCAAAGATGCTCTATTGGGTTGAGATCTGGTGACTGTGGAGGCCATTTTAGTACAGTGAACTCATTGTCATGTTCAAGAAACCAATTTGAAATGATTAGAGCTTTGTGACATGGTGGAAGTAGCCATCAGAGGATGGGTACATGGTGGCCATAAAGGGATGGACATGGTCAGAAACAATGCTCAGGTAGGCCGTGGCATTTAAACGATGCCCAATTGGCACTAAGGGGCCTAAAGTGTGCCAGGAAAACATCCCCCACACCATTACACCACCACCACCAGCCTGCACAGTGGTAACAAGGCATGATGGTTCCATGTTCTCATTCTGTTTACGCCAAATTCTGACTCTAACATCTGAATGTCTCAACAGAAATCGAGACTCATCAGACCAGGCAACATTTTTCCAGTCTTCAACTGTTCAATTTTGGTGAGCTCTTGCAAATTGTAGCCTCTTTTTCCTATTTGTAGTGGAGATGAGTGGTACCCGGTGGAGTCTTCTGCTGTTGTAGCCCATCCGCCTCAAGGTTGTGCGTGTTGTGGCTTCACAAATGCTTTGCTGCATACCTCGGTTGTAACGAGTGGTTATTTCAGTCACTGTTGCCCTTCTATCAGCTCGAACCAGTCTGGCCATTCTCCTCTGACCTCTGGCATCAACAAGGCATTTCCGCCCACAGAACTGCCGCTCACTGGATGTTTTTTTCTTTTTCGGACCATTCTCTGTAAACCCTAGAGATGGTTGTGCGTGAAAATCCCAGTAGATTAGCAGTTTCTGAAATACTCAGACCAGCCCTTCTGGCACCAACAATCATGCCACGTTCAAAGTCACTCAAATCAACTTTCTTCCCCATACTGATGCTCGGTTTGAACTGCAGGAGATTGTCTTGACCATGTCTACATGCCTAAATGCACTGAGTGGCCGCCATGTGATTGGCTGCTTAGAAATTAAGTGTTAACGAGCAGTTGGACAGGTGTACCTAATAAAGTGGCCGGTGAGTGTATATATATATACACACACTCAAGAATGTATATATATATATATATTTAAATATAATGTCATTAAAATATAATTAAATACACTTAAATATAATGCATTTATTAAATTAATTAGTATAAACTATATTTATTACACATATATATTACACTTAATATATTTATACACACTCAAATGTAATGTATTTATTAAATATAATTTAATTATCATAAACTATATTTATCAGTGCTTTTAAGTATGAATTCTGCATTTATATTTAATCACTCTTGCATCATCCACCATATTTGATTTATTTTTTCACTTCTTGCATTGCATTCTGGGATTACCTTCTAAAACAGCTCAAGATGAGCTGTTTTAGAAGGCAGCATAATTAAGTTGCCTATGTTTGAAACCTTAAAATGTAGCCTACAAAGGCGGCTCACTAGAGTCTGAAACAGGGCTCATATTATGTATTTTTTAGCATGACTAGATCAATGTACCAATCAGCATCCAGCACTGGAACTAACTGTTATATAATCACTTAAAAGATTGAGGTCAGTAAGAGTTTATATTTTTGAAAGAAATTAATACTTTTATTCAGCAAGAGTGCATTAAGTTGATCAAAAGTGACAGTAAAGACATTTATATTGTTACAAAAAAATTATATTTTAAATAAATGCTATTTTGAACTTGCTATTTATCAAATAATCCTGAACATTGATAATAATAAAAGAAATGTTTCTTGAGCAGCAAATCAGCATATTATAATGATTTCTGAAGGATCATGTGACACTGAAGACTGGAGTAATGATGCTGAAAATACAGCTTTCATCACAGGAATAAATCACATTTTAAAATATACTCAGTTATTTTAAATTGTAATCATATTTCACTGTTTTTACTGTACTTTTGATCAAATAAATGCACTTTTGGTGAGCGTAAGCGACATATATCTTACTGACCCCGAACGTTTGAACGTTGTGTAACTATGTCCTGCTTGCTTGTGATTTTGAGGCTGTTAGTGAGAACAAAAGCTTTCTGCTGGAAACTTCTCGTGTCTGGTTAACTTAGGATGCATTTGGACAGAAAGCCTGCTGTTTGAAAGCGGACATGATTTATTGCTGCGATATGAAACATCACATGGTCATTCATTTTGTTGAGGCCTTTGTGACCCAATGCAGCTGCACACACAAAATATTTACAGCGCACATCTGCATTTTTGTTTACCATAATGGCGAGCAAAACAAATCCCCATAAAACTGGATATGAATAGAGGTCTAACAGCAGCTAGCCTGATAATGGTACGTTTGGGAAACAAGAGCGTCATTATATCTGTAGAGTAACATGGAGCTCTGAGGGACGCCTGAGGGCCGGGACGTCTTCACGCTGACACAACTGAAGAACACACAGATCTTTGTGGATTCGCCAGGCCTGTGCGTCACTGTTGAAACGATCAAGCACAAAAACACACAATATTTACATATTATTTTCCAGAAAGTGTTAATTCTCTCTCTCTCTCTTTCTCTTGTTTTCCTTCTTCCTGGGATTTCTAGACAATAACAAAGTGTCCACTGACCCGCTCCTGGCTGGACTGGTCTCTGCGTTTGTCGTCGTTGCTGCCATTGTGTCGGTCCTCATATTCCTGAAATTCAGAAACACAAATGACGGCCCACAGTTTCGCAGACTTCAAGATCTCCCCATGGTAGGAGTTCAGTTTATTGATTCATTCAACACATTCTAGATGAATAAATGGCTGAGCAATTCGAAATCACAGAAGTTCAACACTGACAGGAAAAGGGTCGTTCTCAGGAAACCATTTACATGCCATTTATAATATTTTTTTAAAATATTGCTGAACTTTAAAGACGTTATAGTTTCCTATTTTAGGCTCAAATGTACCAGGACCATAACCGCCATAAACAGAGGAACCACAATGATATTGATTTTAAAGTGCTCCTATTATGTTTTTCGGATATTCATGTAGTGTGTAATATCGTTTGCGAATTTTAAAAGGTCTGCAAAGATAAATGTAGTATTGTCTCCCAAAAGACTGTGCCGTCTGACCAATGAGAGCAGAGTTGGCTCTTGGAAAGGAGGGGCTTAAGGTCCTTGCACACTGAGTCCGAAATTTTCATATGCGTTTTTCGTATTCGTCATTCGGTGGCTCTGAATTGTCAAAACATTATCAAAATGCTTGCTTACAGATGCGATAAACGCAGGAAATCAAACCCGATCCCAATTTTTTTTATGATGGACAAAAGTTTCGGAAGCGTGATTAGAATACTGTGAGGTCGTATTTATTTTTTAACGTGTGAAAATGTGGGACGTTTCATTGTGAAAAAAAAAGAGGTGATGTGCAATGTTTATTATGAGAAAATGTAAGTGTTTTTTGACCTTGGATGGATGTAAACCTATTGTAGTAGACCTCGGAAACAAAATTAGGAGCCTTTAAAATAGCATAATAGGGGCACTTTAAAAATATATATTTTTAATGATGTTACTCCCTTAAATATATCAGAAATGAACAAAGGCCAGGCATGAAAAAAAATCAGCAATTTAGCTTTTTTTCTCAAAAAATCCAGGGAAAAAATAATAGTAAATGCATGATGTTTTAATTTCAAGAAAATTACATTTTTAAAATTCTATTTATCCCATTTATTTCTGCTAATGCTGCTTATATATATAAAATGGGTTAGCAATTTTTTTTTTAATTAATACTTTTTTTTTTTTTAGATCATTACCTTAAATATTTAGGACTGAACAAAGCACAGGAAAAAGTTCTGCAATTCTATCTTTTCCTTTTCATGATATTTTAATTTAAAAAAAAGCGAAATGTTTTTTTTTATTCTATATTATTAAAATTGAATGGCGATAAATTGAAAGAAAAGATCCATCACGTGATGTAGTTTTCTGTTAATCCTGTTAAAGGGGTATCATGCCTATATTATAACTCTCTTTAGTGTGTAATGTTTCTGTTTGAGCATGAAAAAGCTCTGCAAAGTTATAAAGCACAAAGTCCCTCCAGCGGGAGTTCTTCTCTATATCAGTGTCAGTGTTTCTGAACTCCTGAAACGCCTCCATTGTAGTCTTGAGTTTCTTCCAGGAACAAACACGTCACAATATTCCTCATTATAATAATTAATACGCAGAATAAAGGGGCGGGGCCTGGTTGAGTTAGTTATTAGTGTGTTGAAACTCACAGTTATGGTAGGAGCGGGTCATTTCCCAAACACACTCAAAGCACTTGACCAATCACAACACACTGATCCAACCGACCAATCACAGCACATTGTGCTTTTCAGAAGGCGGGGCTTCATAGAGACAGGAACTAAATGGAGCGTTACTGACAGACTGGGAATTGCAACATTGTCAAATATGTGAAAAATTATGTGTTTTTTTTAACATTCAAGCATGAAAACCTATTCTAGTAGAGCCCAAAAACAAAATCAAGACTTTAAAAAAAGAGCATAATAGGACCCCCTTATGTCATTGGGACACATATGGCACTGTTTCCTGAATCTGTGTGTTTCAGGACGATATGCTGGAGGACGCCCCTCTCTCCATGTACAGCTACTGAAAAACACAGATGTTCCTCGGACATCTTCAGAGCGCCCAACATCCTCTGTTCAACACAAGAAAGACAGACTTGAATGGCTCATGTGCTTCATAGAGGCACAAACACTCCTGTTGTTTCGGTTACAGGACTAAATGTAGCGTAATACTCCACTCTAGTTGTTAAATTCACCGTGGGCCGTCAGTGCCTGTTTCTTGGGTTGTATTCTTGCACTTTACGTGGGTTTTGGGAAGGGTCGTGACGTCGTGTGCTGCGGGAATATTTGGGAGCTGTTTTTGGCTCCATGTGTTCATTCGTTTCTCTGATAGCTGTGTCGTCTCCGGATCTACTTCAGTTGTGTGTTTGTTACATTCTGTTTAATTCTAGAAGTCTAACTTGCTGCTTTGTTTTTCTGATCAAGTTCTTGGTTTTGTTAAAGAAATGCTCCACCTCTCAGTCGGCAACAATCATGTTTACAGTAGTGCACTTATAATGCAAGTGTATGAGGCACTAAAATAAACAATGAAATGCATTTTCAACTGTGCAGCCACATGACATCGCAAATAATACACATTAACATGAGACTAGGGTGATTAAACAGTTTACTAACCTTGTCTGTGTAAGGTTATTTTGTTTTCCAGCTCCTGAAAAGAGACTAAACCCTGTAACCTTTGCATGACACACACAAGAGTAGACTTCATAGCAAATGCATTACTGTAAACTGATTTTTGCTTATTTTTACAAACTGAGGGATGAACAGCTGAAATATTGAAATGTTGCAGCTTGACCTGTATTGAACCCGGGACATTTCTTTAATACTCCATGAACAGCATCAGTAATGATTTTCCAGTGTTAATTTCACTTTGTTCTCTGCTTCGTTCCCAAGGATGTTTCCAGCTCTGTTAAATACTATTTTTTGTCAGTCATATAAATGTTCACTTTAACTTCAAGAGATAATTTGGATTTTTTTTTTTTTTTTTTTTCATCTTTTGGAATGTCTTCAAATAGACAAAACAACAACGGTGAAAATGCAATTGGCTCTTTTAAACAAAACAACTAAATTCTACTGCTTTTAAAATTAAGTTTTAGGATAAAAAATATCTATTTAGGTGCGCATTTTAACAGGCAGCCAACACTGATCAACGTTTAGATGTTTAGCCATAGTTTTAGAGGGATATTTCACCCCAAAAAATTTTATTCTGTCATTTACTCACCCTCATGTTGTTCCAAACCTGTATGAGTTTCTTTCTTCTGTTGAACACAAAAGAAGATATTTAGAAGAATGTTGGTAACCAGAGAGTTGACGGTAGCCATTGACTTCCATAGTAAAAAATAAAATAAAAAAGTCAATCAACTGTCCGGTTACCAACATTCTTCTAAATATCTTCTTTTGTGTTCAACATTAGATGAAACTCATACAGGTTTAGAACAAACATGAGGATGAGTAAATTATGACAGAATTTTAATTTTTGGGTGAACTATCCCTTTAATGCTTTTCTTGTGCCTGAAATGTTTTTTATAAAAACTGAGAAAAAATGGACAAAATGTAGCTTATAAACTTAACACCCATTTTTTATCGATTAATAAAAGTGAAAAATACAGTATTTTTCTTCTTGTGCTTTGTTGGCTGATGGATGTGTGATATTGTTTACTTCATGTAATAACTTGTAAGAGTGCATTTAAAGTGTTTCTTATTACACATTGTTCTTTTTTAATTAATAAAAGTCTTTGAAATACACACTAAATTGTTACCGTACTTTTTGAAAGTTGTCTCACAACACTAAAAACACAAGTTATGACATGATAAAATAATTATTCCGATTTATTTCAAAATTTTCACTTTTCATTTTCACAATTTGAGGTTTCTGGTCTTATTGTGAGCGATTCATCAATGCATGTTGTTCTAAAGTAAAAAAAAAAAAAACATTGATGTAAACATGCTTCAAATACTGACTGCAAATATGTTTGAAACATGTACGCAAGCCCAAGTCGAACTCTCTTTCACTGTTTGGGCGTTTTGTGTTGCATGTTCATATTCAAAACCCATTTTGCATTATTTCGAAAGCCATTTTGCAACTTTTATCGTTAACTAATACCTCTCAATTTCCTGAATACTGTGTGGCTGAATTTGGAAAGATACTTTAAACAAGTAAGAGTAGTATGCTAGTATGTGGTTCCAAATACAGCATCCAGGGTTCCCGCGGATCCTTAAAAAGTCTTAAAAAGTCTTAAATTAGATTTTTAAAATTTAAGGCCATAAAAAGTCTTATAAAGTCTTATTTTTACTTATGAAAGGTCTTAAATTTTAGATGACACTTTGACTTAGACATATCTAAAAGCTTTCCAAATTAAAACTATCTAATTAGCGTACGTATTTGTATTTATATATTATTCTATCTTTGTGGATTTGCTAGTTCACGTGACATTTCGCGTCACTCGCGAGTCGCGGCAGCATAACTGTCTCCTGCACGCGAGAGGAGAGAAGGAGAAGAAAGGTCGTAAATGTCAGTTCAGTTGTAAGTTCATTCTTTATGTGCGTATGGTGTGCGATGTGTATTGTCTATTATGATATTGTAATCATTGTTTTAACAATGTACGAGGCACTGCGAGCTGACATCGCATTTGTCTCGTGCTTTCACTGCGTGATGTGTGCAGTGTAACTGTTATGTCCCCAAATTAGTTTTTGTCTTATATTTATATCATATTATGTTCTTATATTAGAATATCACATCAGAAAGAGTGCCGTTTTCCCGTGCACGATTCCAAGTGTGATATTTATGTTGTACAACAGTAAAATTAACAATAAGTTAACATTGAGTTACTTTTTAGACACAATATTGTCAATATTGTTTGTTTTCCCTTTATTTCGCCGACTATCATTTTAAAATGAAACCGTAGCAGAGTCTCAATGCAACCGACAGCGATGATTTCTTGATTGAAATCCGCGTTTTGAACGAATCACTCGCTTCTTTCCCGAATGAATCAGCCGTTTGAACGAATCGGTTGAATGAATGACTCCCTCAACTCACTTACTCACAACAGTGATTTGCCGCTGCGGTTTCATATTTAAAGTACCCTTTAAATAAAATGTTAAAATTAGAAATCATTTCATATTTAAATATTGAATATTGATTTAAAAATATATATCTCATAGCTTTATTTATGCAGTTGTAAATGGAGTGTAAATATATTAATGCCACTTCTGATGCCGCTTCTGTCACCTCTGCACTGCAAAGATGGATTTTGATTGAATGATCTAATTTGACTGGTAACAGTGGTACTGTATGATTATTATATAATTAAGTATTATTGTATAATTACTGTATAATTTAATTTGAATGATAGTATTTGACATTAAAGGTGATGCATAACTCTGAATAAGTTTAGAAAAAATGTCCATATATAGGTGAAAATGCCCCTGAAAAAATCAATTTAAGGTGGCAAATATTGCCCCTTAATTAATATATGAATTTCTGTCACTGCTGTGAACTGACCACTGCATAGAATATGAAAAATATGAATATCTTCGTGAGTCAGCTGTCAACAACAGACCTAAACCAGCCATGGCACCAGCACAAAAACACAATCAGTAAAATATCATCTAATTATTATCAACAAAACGTTGAAAATATCAATATATATTTTTGTCAATACTGCACAGCCCTAATGTACGGTATTAATTTTGATTTCTTCAGGTCTTAAAAAGGTCTTAAAAAGCCTTAAATTTGACTTTCAAAAGTGTGCAGGAACCCTGGCATCTCAATGCAATACTTACAAAGCCTTTAAAAAGACTATCTGTGTCTAATGTGTGTCAGTCTTACTACAGAAACTCAGTGAGCACCATGGACTTGATTTTACCTCAACATAGATCAATTATATTAGAAATAGCCCAGTCCAGTCCTTCATGTCAGAAGTAAACGGTCCGTTATCTAGTCAACACTTAAGAACAAGGTTTCCATTTCCTCTAATAGCAGCACGATGGTTTATTGGCCTTTAAGATCAGAGGTCACTGAGACTGAGATCTGGAGGACTGTCTGAAACTCTGTCCACCCCTTCAGCATCATTGTCAAGGTTACTCTCAAGCCCACTTCCAGCATCGCTGATGTCACTTCCTGACAGGTCTGAATTTAGACGGACCCGTTGGCGCCTCCTCCTGGTTTGTAGCTCTAAAATCAGTTAGAAAAATGAGTAATTGTTAGTGTAAACCTGGGTTTCTCCAAACTGTGGTTCCCAAGTTGATGAAAAACTAATACTTGATTAAATCGTAAAAATGTACAATAAAATAAATAAATAATAAATAAAAGTGTCCTCCTCTCTTCAGCGAGTTAGTTTCCTCTCTAACTAAAATCATATAAAAAAAATTATTGCTTGAAATAAATATTAACTAAAATGAAATAAAATATAAACTCTTCACCTTATTTTATTTCAGCTAGTTTCCAAGGCAATGTTAATTCGAAGAACTACAATAACTAAAACTTAACAATATATATATATATATATATATATATATATATATATACAAAAAAATTACAAAAACACAATTACTGCAACGTTAAAATTAAAACAGAAAATGTAAAAATGTAGTCTTTCAAAATATGAACAAAAACTATAATAGTATATCAATGATACTATACGATACTATAGTAACAATTACTCCAGCTGTTGTTTTGTCATCTTTAAAAAAATCAAAACACAACGGAAAAAAATGAAATCTAGTTTATTTGCAGCTCGTTTGCGAGTTAGTGGTTAAAAAAACTGCATGCATTTTGCGGAAGAACATGTTTCGGTTGTGCGGATGAATATGACCCTTCACAAGAGATAATGCTTTACAGTGAACTCAGAGAGCTACAAGGCAATTTATCCGTTCAATAAAATACCTTCTTAAATAATAAAAACGCCATCATCTCCGCATTACTTTTACAACATCCCTCAGTTCTCGCCATCTCCGAAAAGCCAAGCCAATGTTGATTCTGGTTTTATTACGAGCTCTGTCGCCTTCTCCTTTAGCCAGCAGACTCTCCTCTGTTCGGCGTTTGTATAAAACGGGTGATTCCCCGGAGGTGGGAGATTTAGCGGCTCCATGTCAACCTTTCTCGATCGTTGTGACAACTAACATATGCCACTCCCACACCAAAGTAGCCAGAGCAACTTTTCTATATTTACAGATACGACGAGACACAGACAGGTGAGTGACGCATGTCCTCAATTCCCCGTGAAAACCATCCAGTCAGGTCTAAAATATAAACACTTATAATAGGCTTACCATAGTGAATCAGAGTAAGACAAAAACACGTTTTGGAAGAAGGATTGATGCATTGACTCGTTAGTTAAAGGTGCATTGCGCAAGTCTCTGAGTTTTTGCAGAACTATGCCCCCTCTGGCGACAAGCGAAACTGCAACCAGAGGTGTGCACGCTCATGGACCACACGCACACGCACGCTTGCACGAGTACGAGCTGTTCATAACCAAAGGAGCATCAGCCGCACAAATGTTTTGTTTACAGTCATAATGTCTTCAGAGGTAATAAAGTTATAAATCTGCAAGTCATTTTAAATATATGAAAGGAAAGGCATTTGAGTAAATTACACACTTGTGTGAGGGGAAAACAGGGGTAGTAGAAAACTTCGGTTTTTGTTTCCATCTATCTCCATGTTGAACTGTTTTATGTGTTTACTGTATCCACTTATGATTGTATTATTATGGAAACACGTTCATGAACAATACAAGTTATTACTTTGTAAAAGCTCAAAATAATAATCATACCATACACAGTTGGTCAACAAAGTACACTCAAATGTCTCACGGTAATAAACAATCAAATGGCACTATGACGTTACCGTAAAAGCCAAACAGGCTAATCCGCCGAAGATTTGCGGGGGTTTAGCCTGTTTATTGATCTGCTAAGTAGCATATTCCAATAGCAATACATCCTAATCGTCTTATTCCGACGCCTGTCTGACTCCAATTTGGCCCTTTTGGTGGCACTAGACAAAATTTTTCTTTTCTTTGTCTTACGTGGAGTTTGCGTTGGGGTTTGGAATGAACTACAAGCGAATACACAAACCTGCCAGACATAGACCGCATGACGTCACGCCCAGTCTCAAATTCCGTCCCGAATCCCTCTTATATATTTTACTGTACAGGATTATAGAGGCAAACGCAGTGATCAGAGAAGGGCTCATTCAGCCCATTAGGCAATTGTTTAAGCATGTATGGGTTAGAAAAACGGGTATTTTTAACATGAAATGTTGCGCAATGCACCTTTAAATTGTGTTATTTTTGAGAAAAAAAAATTGTTGCATAGTGTACCTTTAAGCCAATAATGACAAAGGGTACCGAAGGCTTATTTTATGTAGCTTTTACAGTGAAATAGGACCTGGCCAACTCTGCGTGAGATAAACCCTTCAGTGCACGCGTATCTCTCGTGTCATGTGTCCATGTGTCACCTGGTTCTTCCAGCCAGGATGCATCCAACTCGTCTGAGCTGATCTCGGCCAGACTGGGAGTGGGACTGAAATCATCCTCCGACACTGACGACACACGTCTCTCGGCCCTCGTCTTCACGGTTACCACTGTTACCACACAGGTGCGAGAGAACAATGAAAGGACACCACATGCAAAGAGGGAAATTGCACAGAAATCTCTGGCGATTCCAAATGTCAGAGAGAGGCTAAATGAAGGGTTTTGGCTTATAAATGACCTTCAAGGGGGAACAAAAAAAGTATTACGCCCCTTTAATGAGTGCGTTCTCACCTGGTTTCTGTGGTACCGGTGCAGGTGTGGGGAGGAGAGAGTCTCTCAGGACCAGACCTCTCACCTCGTCCTTCAGCTCAGAGACCGTGACTCTGAATCACACACAGAAAATAAAGCGGCCTCCTCTCATCAGGGTTATTATCTTTAGCTAAAACCGTAAAAAAAAATAATTGATTCATTAAATAAAATAAATGTTAACTGAAATTAAATATTCAAAAATAATCATCATTTAATTTCATCAAGTTGCCAAGGCAGAAAAATGTTTGGATTTGGGAATGGTGGTTATTCACAGTTTTTTGACCACTTTAACTTTGTTTGGATTTTTCGTTTGTTGAAATTATGAACTTAATTTAGAAATGTTTCAAAAATAAAGCTTTTGAAATGAAGACTGCGTTTGGAGTGGAGTGCGTGCAAAATAATGAATCATTGTTTCCTGAATCCACGGCCAACATCGAAAAGCCGACACAGCAGACTTCCACAGAAGATACAGTATACGCATGTACACTTTTTAATATTTAGACTGCTATTATTGATTGCTATCAGGACGTGAAGAGAGTTTCAAACAGTATAACAAAAAGTGTTTATGAAAAACATTGCCTACTCTAGCTTTAAGAGGGTGAAATATCTTGATTTCACCTCATTTCCGTTTTCCAATCGCTCACCCCTTGAGAACACACTCACCTGAGGTCACGTACTTCCTGTTGAGTGTGCTGGTATTGTGACACCATCCGAGCTAGTTCAAAACTGTGCGTGCGCTGTGAATCTGTGAAACTCTCTAACGTCTGCAGAATACAAACATCACATGAGCTCTGGAATGAGTGAACTGAAGCAGAACATGCTGTTTATTAAAACTACACAGCAAAAAACACTCGTTCACAAATGGATATTGCATATTATATATTGCACATCATTTACATTCGGAAGTATATTAAAGATATATTAAAGGTTCTCTAAGCGATCCTGGGTGACGTCACTTCTTGTTGACGTTCGAACTATTGTCAAACAAAACGGAGGCTAGCTAGACCCTCCCTCCTCCTCATCCGCACACTAACCCCCCCAAACCCTTCTTGTCGGTGATTGGCTGGAACAGTTTGTTATGTTTCGGGGAGCGGGTCGCCGCAGTTTGTTTTTGTTGCTGTTTGTGGAGCCTGGGCTGTCTACAGAGACCGCGTTTCTTTACAGTGTGTTCAGGGGACAGGCAGCCAGCGGTTAGTGAGGAGATGTTTGCTGTATGTGACAAATGTTTTGGCCTAAAAAACGCGTGACATCGCTTAGAGCACCTTTAAAGATGCATATTAAAGATACAGTAGCAACAGTCAATACAAATCTTGACTAACTTTAGAAGAAAAAAACACCCTTTTAGGTAAAATGGTAAATATTATATTTAGTATAATGTAAAGGATCCATACAGACAATCAGAAAAAGCAAAATAGAAAAACATACACTAACGTTCAAAGACTCTTCTGCTCACCAAGGCTGCATTTTATTTGATCCAAAATACAGTTAAAAAAAGTAATATAAAATAAATATATTGTGAAATATTATTACAATCTCAAATAACTTTGATCACAGGAATTAAATTTTAACATACATTCAAAGATAAATTTTCATCATCATTACTCCAGTCTTCAGTGTCACATGATCCTTCAGAAATCACTCCAATATGATGATTTGCAGCTCAGGAAACTTTTTGATTATTATCAATGCTGAAAACAGTTAAGCTGCTTCATATTTTTGTGGAAACGGGTTTACGTTTAGGATTTTTAGAAAGTTCAATAGAACAGCATTTATTTGAAATAGAAATCTTTTGTAACATTATAAAATTTCTTTATTGTCACTTTTGATCAATTTAATGCATCCTTGAATACTTTTTTATTTCTTTGAAAGATAAAGAAATGAATTAATAATACTGTACATATGTGTCGTTTACCTTAGAGCTACGTTCATACTGTCTCCTTGTTTCTCTGGCCTCTGACTGGAGCTGGAACGTATCTTCCTCCTGTCGCACTACAGAAACACAAACCAGTTTGCTTTTTTAACATTCATGAACATGATATAAATGTAGCCAAAATGCCCAGTCAGAATGTCTATCAATATTGAAGTGGTTATGAATGTGAGGCCAACACAAACACAGCCAGTCTCGAAGCGTGATGTTTATTTGCGTGACAGCGGAAGCAGAAGAACACGCGTGCGTGTGTTTATATTTAACACAAAGTGCATTTGCACTGGCAGAAAGCCCTGACTGTAATAACAGGACACTCATATACTGAAAGAGTTTGATTTATGCATGGAACATTATAGCGTATATCTGATATGCAAAGATGGTTCATGCATCTATGGCATCAAACGTATATATGAAAAGTAACTAGTATACGACCTACTCAGTTTGTTTTTGAGAATGTCCACCTCTCTCCTGAGCTGCTCCAGTTCTTCTCTGCGGAGTTTAGAGCTGAAACTGTGGACGGACAAATATTACAAACAATCAGTGTCTGTACATGCACAAGCTGATTACTAGCACACTTGGGCTCAGTTTTGATTTCATCTCGACTTTAAACCAGTTAGTTTTTTAGATTTTATGTGCATGGCAGGGTTGGGTCGACAGAGTGAATATTCACTATATATTTGCAATACTTTTTTAAAGTAATATACACTACTGGTGAAAAGTTTGAAATAATTCAGATTTTTTAAAATGTTTTTGAAAGAAGTCTTTTCTGCTCACCAAGGCTGAATTTATTTGGTCAAAAATACAGTAAAAACGTCAATATTTTGAAACATTTTTGCAATTTAAAAGAACTTTTCTACTTGAATATATTTTAACAATTTGATTATTTAATTATTTTTTTATTAATTTTTGGCATCATTACTCTAATCTTCAGTGCAGTAGTATTTATTTTATTTTTTATTTTAGTTTTATTATAGTTTTATTCATATTTTGGATTAGCTTTTATTTTTATATTTGAGTTTTGTTAATTTTAAGTTTAATTTTCATACATTTCATTATGTGCTTTTGTTTTTAAATATTGCTATAGGTTAAACATTTTATTATTTGTTTATTTTATTATTTATTTCCAATTAATAATTTTAGTCAACCTAAACATTGCTTCAGCTTAAAATTTTCTTTAGTTTATGTTCAACTAATATTTTTATTTTATTTCACCTTTATTTCAATTAACAGAAATGTTTCAATAGTTTTAGTAAACGATAATAACCCTGCTCCAGTGTCACATGATCCTTCAGAAATCATTCTAATATGATGATTTGCTGCTCAAGAAACATTTCTGATTATTATCAATGTTGAAAACAGTTGTGCTGCTTCATATTTTTGTGGAAACTGTGATTTGCTACCATTCAAAAGAAAGTAATGTTTCTCAGCAAAGTATGCATTAAATTGATCAAAAGAGACAGTAAATTAAGTTAGAATGTTACAAAAGATTTCTATTTCAAATAAATGATGTAATTTTCTATTAAATAATCCTGAAAAAAATATATTAAAGCCGAATATTAAACCATTTTCAACACTGATAATAATATGAACCATTATTAATACTTGAGCACCAATAATAATTAATAATAACTGAGCACTAACTCATCATATTAGTATGATTTCTGAAGGATCATGTGACACTGAAGACTGGAGTAATGATGCTGAAAATACAGCTTTGATCACAGGAATAAATATATTTAAAATATATTCACATAGAAAACAGTCATTTGAAATTGTAATCATAATTTCACAACATTACTGTGTTGTGTAATGTATTTTTGACTTAATAAATGGTGAGCAGAAGAGATTTCTTTCAAAAACATTACAAAAATCATAATTATTCCAAACTTTTGACCATTTTGTATTTATTTTTCACAGATACCACTAAAGAGTCATCACAGACCTTTCTTCCTGGTTTCCTAGAGTCGTGGCTCGGTTGATCTGAGCCCTCAGGCTGCTCAGCTCTCGATCCATCTCTCTCTTCCACTGCTCTGTCCGTCGATCCGGTCCAGGGCTCAATGCTCTCCGCTCCACATCCCGCTCTCTCTCCTCCAGTTTATCCTGAAGTCTCTTCTGCTCCTCTGGAAGAGACCAGCTCTAGAATTAACATCAACTCTAACAGAGCAGATTTTGGTTTTGCCATATTCTATTAAATTACTTATTGAAAAGTAGTATTCATTGAAGGGGTCATGACATGGACTTTTATTTTAATGTGTTCCTTGAGGTTCACTTATGTTATATGTTTTAATAATACATTTTTTTTGCACAAAAAAACAAATATACATACATGTAGAAAAATGACCATTTTCAACCTTCATTCTACCTCTCTGTCTGAAATGATCATTTTATTAAGGCACAGCTCCTTTAAGGCTTGTCAGTAAATGCCCGATTAGTAAATCAACGCCCACTCATTATTGCACACGACTGAGTGTTTTTACAACATGTATATAAAACCGTCATTTACAGACAAAGCATTATGAAATCATTTACTTCCGGTTTGTGATGCCGCTGCTGTCAGATCCAATAGTCGGCTGCTTCCTCTTTTAACAACAGTTTATTTGTGAACTCTCCATTACTCTGTGCCGCGTTTACAAAACTAAATGCCCCGAACAAACATATAATCCTGAGAAAAAGGACCCAAGGTCTAACTAGGACCAAGGAGCAGGACCGGAGCACAGAACGTTTTAATATATTTATTAGTGCAAAATGACCAACATTTCGACGCACATGCGTCTTCTTCAGAGTCAAAGAGTCAATGGCAACAATATACAGAAATTAAAGAGTCAAAATTCAAGGTATTGACCACAGGCCTAGGTGGGTGTGGTGCAACAATTATCCAATTTTATACAAGCACTCAAGTCTAAACCAAAAAAACCCCCCCCAAAAAAACACATATAGCAAATAGCTACATACACATATACATAAAAAAAAACATACATAAATATAAATAAATACATACACATAAACATACAAAAAATACCATACATATAGACACACACAGGCATAAAAAATAAAAATAAAAACATAATCCTCTGATGCGATCCAGGAGGCCATTAAAATAAATCATCCAGTTGTTTCCGACACTGGGATCCTAGTGAAGTCTGTACAGAGACTCAAACCAGCTGTTTAAACTGGATGTGTCAATGCAAACGTTCTTTCACTCTTTCATTTGTCCTGTTTTCAGCAGACTCAAGTGTGTGGAGTACGTCAGAAACTGAACATGCATCTGTATACTGTATTATAATAAGTTCTATTTGCTTTTGACATGACGCGATACTCACATCCAGTGTAGGCGAATGTCAGCCGTTAAGCGACTGAACGCCAGTGGGCGGGGCCTATGGTGTGATGATGTATAGCTATTGGCTGATGTGTTGCTCTAGAGGCGGGCATATGCAAATGCATTTGCCTGTGTGATGTCACAGATCGCATTATCAAAACAAGCCGTTGTTGGAGCTTGATTAAATAAATGCTTTGTTTTTATGAGGAGGACATTTTAAGCTGTTAAACGTGCAGGATATTTTAATTGATACAAAGACCTCAAAAGATCAAGGCAAATTTGATTTCTCATGTCACGACCCCTTTAAAATCTGAGCATATTAAAGAACATGGAAACGCATTGAGATGGATGATCACCTTGTAATGTTTGTATTTGTCTGTGCTGAGCGTTTCGTTCTCTTTCCAATAATCGAAGACTCTGGGTTAAAGTCTCAATGGCCTGTGGCAAAATAACATAAACGTATATTATTCTGGAATGATGCACTGTAGGATTCAGTTTACTATATTAAGGCAAGACACTGCAGTCAAAAACACTGTTTTTTCAGGCACCATACTTTATAGACTATATCTATTTGCATCTATAGATTTTAAATTAGCAATACACATTTATACATCAACAAAATGAAACAAGAATTTCTTTATGGCTTTATTCAATGTTCAGATTTATGTTCTGGAAATGTATACAAATGGTGCATATTTAATTACTTAATGCCTCATTTGCATTTTTAAACATTACATTTTAGAGAACTTTTAACTAGGGAGTTATGGTGATAATATCTATTAGTTCAAATGTTTACCCTATTCACCTGTTGCGTCTTGCTTTAAAGAACAATCTTAAAAACAAAATGATAAACACATACAGGTGAAACTCGGAAAATTAGAATATCGTGCAATAGTTCATGTATTTCAGTCATTCAAATTAAAAGGTGAAACTAATATATTTAGTATATACACTACCGTTCAAAAGTTTGGGGTCAGTGAGAATTTTATTTTTATTTTTTGGAGGAAAGAAATCAATACTTTTATTTACAGTGGTGTGAATAAGTTATTACCCCCATGCTAAAGTTGCCTAAAAAGAGGAATAAAAAATCATCTTTTGGAAATTGATCTTAATGCCTTAATTAGAAAAATGCGGAAAAATCCAACCTTTAAGGACACCAATTTTCTTTGTGTATGAATAATGTATCATAAATAAATAAATGTTCTTCCTTAAAATACAGGGTGCATAAGTCAGGCCCCCCCTATGTTAAATTCCCATAGAGTCAGGCAGATTTTTATTTTTAAAGGCCAATTATTTCATGGATCCAGGATAATATGCATCCTGATAAAGTTCCCTTGGCCTTTGGAATTAAAATATCCCACATCATCACATTCCCTTCACCATACCTAGAGATTGGCATGGTGTTATTTCAGTTAGCCTAATAGCTGGTTTGATTTGCATTGAAAGATGATCTTATGAAAAGTACCCCATGCCAATCTCTAGGTATGGTGAAGGGAATGTGATGATGTGGGTCTATTTTAATTCCAAAGGCCAAGGGAACTTTATCAGGATGCATATTATCCTGGATCCATGAAATAACTGGCCTTTAAAAATAAAAATCTGCCTGACTCTATGGGAATTTAACATAGACTGACTTATGCACCCTGTATTTTAAGGAAGAACATTTATTTATTTATGATACATTATTCATACACAAAGAAAATTGGTGTCCTTAAAGGTTGGATTTTTCCTCATTTTTCTAATTAAGGCATTAAGATCAATTTCCAAAAGATGATTTTTTATTCCTCTTTTTAGGCAACTTTAGCATGGGGGTAATAACTTATTCACACCACTGTATCAAGGACAGTAAAGACATTTATAATGTTACAAAAGATTCTATTTCAAACAAATGCTGTTCTTTTGAACTTCCTATTCATCAAAGAATCCTAAAAAAAAAAAAAAAAAAAAAAACTGTACAACTGACAGACCAACAACTGCTTCAACATTGATAATAATAATAAATGTTTCTTGAGCATCAAATCCTCATATTATACTGATTTGTGAAGGATCATTTGACACTGAAGACACCGACACTGGTGATGCTGAAAATTCAGCTTTGATCACAGGAATAAATTACACTTTACTATATATTCACACAGAAAACAGCTGATTTACACTGGAATAATATTTAATACTATAACTGATTTTTGTTGTATTTTTAATCAAATAAGCGCAGCCATGGTTAGCAGAAGAGAATTCTTTTAAAAGTATTTAAAATTGTACCGACCCCAAACTTTTGAACGGTAGTGTATAACTATATACATATGCATGTTCATACTTTTCAGAGGGCCGACATTTCTGTATTTAAAATCCTTTTTTTATTGATTTCATGTAATTTTCTAATTTTCTGAGACTTTGAATTTGGGGTTTTCATAAGCTGTAAGCCATAATCATCGAGTTTCACCTGTATATTGTGCCCCAGATCTCAAGTGGACAGCACTAAATACAGATAAATGATCCAATACGTCATGTGATCCAAACACATATTAATAGCAAATGAAGTCAACTCTCCACGTGTGATGGGATCACGCGAGCCAGACGTTGATATCAGGTGAAAGTGGGTCATGTGACCAGAGCCGGTGTTAGTCTGACCTGACTCTGCTGCTGTAGTTGTGTCTGGATAGCGGTCAGATCTGACCACTGAACCGCAGGACTGAGAGAGGACGAGGGCTTCAGATCAACACCGGCTGTGACCTCTCTGACCGGAAACACATCTACAGAGAGAAACACGTCAACTAATTAAATCATACTAAACATATACAGTAGTGGACTAAATTGATCTCCAGAGGGGATATTTTTAAGTAAATATTTGAGGGAAAATCAAAACAAAACTTGGTTAGGGTATTTATCTGACAAAATTATTTGGCAAAAAAAGGCAAACAGCTGCAGGTTTTATTTTTATGATGCAAAAATAAATAAAAAAATGCATAGAAAAGCAAAAAAAACTCTCAAGAAAGAGCATAGATTAATACAATATAACCAGTTATTAATATTTTGTTGGCTCTCTCTTGTTTTTGCATGTGTTCATAATTTCTTTGTATGACAGCCTGGGCCACTACAACTGGAATTAAATAAATAAAACAAACAAACTGAAAGCACATGGCAAAATGAAAACTGAAAATATAAAATAAAAATTATAATAGTAATAATACTAAATGAACATTGCTCAGAAATAGGCAATTTAGTATTTTAATGTTTTGACAATAAAGGTTTTCAGGATTTAAAACTTTTACTAATTTCCATGACTTCTTTAGGCCAGGAAATTATTCTTTTTAAAACTCCCTTTTTATTTCCAGGTTTTCCATGACTATGGGAATTGAAAAGAATTATACAGAATATTCTCCATCTGTCAATTTTCTATTAATGGAGTAAAAGGAGTTACCTTCAGTTCCTCTAGGAGATCTTCCATATGTAGTTAGGCGTTCCTTGTAAGACACAATATTAGAAACTGAGGTAAATTAAAGGTGTATTTCACAGAAGAAAGTAAGTCATAGAGGTTCAGAATAACATGTGTGTGAGTAAATAATGACAGAATTTTAAATTTAGGTGAACTCACTGTCGCTTTAATTTATCTAGCAGACATAGAGCGCACTCTAGCGGCCAGTATCTTCAACATTCTAAACTGACATACATTTTATAAATGTAAAATTATTATTATTAGTGATGAAATACAGTCTCTTACCCTCATCTTTGCGACACTTCCGTCCGCCTCGGAGATGATGGAGCTCAATTGATGGTCCCAGTTCATCCTGAGCGCCTGATAACCAGCTTCTCGAATTAAACACGAGCATAAAACCCGTCTGATTTATAAAGACCCCTTAAACCAGCAGGAATAATGACAGGTGAGGTTACAGGGACAGGTAAACGGGACATATAGTGTCACCGGATTCTACAGAGGTGTGTTTCAGTTTTAGTAAACAAACAACTGAAATAACGCTTCAAAACACACGCGCGCGCGAAACACTGAAGCGACCGTTTATTTCAGAGAAACTTCACGAACGAATATCCTTCCATAAATAATATCATTAAAAGTTCGATTACATGTCTAAAATCCTCTTTTTATGGGGCCAGACAGTGCCCATTTCAGTTTGTTTAAATCCAGGAGCCAGCGCCACTACATTACACGCCACGTCCGTCACACCACATGGATTATGGGAAATGTAGTAAATCTGGTGTAATGGCCGCTCACTCCTTATGAGCATAGACTTATGAGACCTAGCAGCTAGCAAACATACTGCATCAGTAAGATATGACACCATTCATATACATTATATTCTACTGTATATGCATGTTTTTTTTTTTAAATGGTAAAAAGTGCTATAGCCATTATACTTAAGGTTTCTAGAACACTATAAAGCATCACTCACGTGAGACATTTCACATACTGTAAAGTTAACTCAACTGTTATTGTTTAATACTGGCCTAATAACATATAGCTTACTAGCCTACCATACATTTACAAATTGTCACATGTATTACAGTTTACTTGATACAATTCCGTGAGTGAGAGACAATGGGCTCTATCTTGCACTCGGCGCAAATGACTTTGTACACTGACGCATGTATCATTCCTATTTTGCACCCGCGCAAAGCGGACTTTTCCCTCCACAGACACACGTCGGTTAACTAAGAAATACACTTGCGCTCCCCGGGGCGGTTCAGCGCAAAGAGGAGGCGTGTTCCGGCGCAAACTTTCCCTCATGCTATTTTGCTGTTCTATAAAACAACTGCGCCACTGACCAGAAAAAAACTAGTCTAAAGTCAGTGGCGCGTTGCGCGTTGTTCATTATGCTATTTTAAGCGCGCATGCTTGGCCATAATGTAGCGGGTGCACAACGCGCATACACTTTGATTCTCTCATCAACACAGATGCAGCAGTTTTTATTTTTGCAAATCATACATTATAACAAGGAAAAATATTAACACATGAGGGAAATCATTGTGGTGTCCATGAAAATTTAGTTTTTTTCCTCCCACGCCTGTTTAACCGACGCTGATTTGTATGGGGATGGGAGAAACCCACCCACGATAGATAGATAGATAGATAGAGAGATAAATAGATAGATAAGTCTGATTTGAACGTTGAATTTCTTGTTATTTCTGCATGCATTCTACTTCAGACAGTCAAACAGTGCCGTCTGAGGGTGTTACTGCATGAGGGTTTATGCCATAGTTTACAGGTGCACGCAATACAACGTCACTTCTCTGTCTTTCACGGTCCTGACAAGAACGTCGGTCTCCTCGGCTGTGAACCGCTCCTGACGCGCGCCTGGTAAATCCGCCGTTATAATAGCAATCCGCCATGCAACATGCGCACCTGCTCTTAAAGGGAATGTGAGATGACGCTCTGATTGGTTTATTCCACGTTACGCCCAAACCACACCTATGAATAATGAAGCTACTTCAGACCAACCTCTTTTAGATTTGCGCCAGGCGCAAGAGTCATTTATCCCGCCGGGAAAATAGCAACAGCGCCGGGATCCGCCCACAAAGTTACTTGCGCTTTGCGCTTTGACACTTGCGTTTCAGATCGTTAAAATAGGGCCCAATATTACATTTATCTTAACTTTAGCTTCTTAACTTTAGTTTTAGTTAAACTTCCCTTTAGTCAAATCTGTGGTACAGGGTTATTATATTTAACTAAAACTTAAACTACCATAAAACAAACTACCATTTTCGTTACTCTAAAAATTTAAAAACACAAAAAATTACCAAAACTTTCACATTAAAATGCAAAAATAGAAACTAATTTAAAAACTAAAAGTATCTAAATGATATTAAAATATATCCACTTGGCTGTTATATCATGTTTCACATAATTTCACCGCACTTTTTTAAAGACAAAACACTAACTGAATTGAACATTTCAACTTTTATGCTATTTATTTAAAACAGAAATGTACACACAGAGAATTCCCAGAGGTCTTACAGTGTAAAATGAGCCTCTTTGTGTTTTTCTAATTTTACATAACATGTTTTTTTTTAACTTTATAGTCACTTTATAGAATGTGTAATTAGAGTAGAATTGAAAACATGATTTCCACTATTTAAAACATATTGGCCATTTGAACCCAGGTCCCCATCCGAGGAGTGTTCTCCCGGTGTTCACCGTGCAGACGAACAGACCCAGCAAAGCAAGCATCCCGAACGAGCCACGCCGGCGCTTCTCAGGCTCTAACAGGACAGAACACAACACTCAAACTCATTTCACTAGCTGTACTCATAATCCAGTTGCCTTAAATCTACACAGATCAGTTCTGTGGAGGTGCAAAGACACTCACTTCCAGTAGAGTATCCTTGTGCGTACAGCACCCGACTGACAATCCAGATCATTCCCAACACGCTGGCCAGGCGCTGAGAAACACAAGAAACAGTTCTCTCAGTTAGCATTAGCTTGGATGGGTGTTAATAAAGCTTGAATCTATACTCACTGGATGCTGAATCCCACCCACAGATAAATGAAACAGGAATAGAGACACAACTTCAACACTGTAAGAAAATGGCACATTTATAAATATACTGCATGCTTTTTGTTTTACAATTATAATTACAATGACAAAATATCCACAAAAGCATCAATAAACCATCAGAAAAGCAGCAAGGAAACCAATCACAACAATCCCTTCTCGATCAAATGTAAAACATTAAATAAGCTGATATCTATTGTAAAGAAAACTTTATAGACCGCAGATATATTACTGCTAAATATGAATGTATATTGAGAATATTAATGCATAATGAATATTAATGCACGCATACGTGTTCTGATGAGCTCGCTGGATACAGTTGAATTTGTTTCCAGTCTCTGGATCATCACTGTACATTGTAGGATACTAGAAAATAAAATTAATACTTTCATCATAGGTTCAAACTTAATTACACCAAAAGCCATTAAGCAAAATAGTACTTTTGTGCTCTAAAAAGGGGTTCTCAAACCACTGTGTTCTGATGGACATGAGGAACGAATAAATGCTAAACGTATTTATAAAAGTATTGTATATTGTATCAATATCTGTTTTTAAGGACATTTGTTTACTTTATGTCGCCCTTTGATGTCCAATGTAAAGTCTGGGTCATAATGCAAAACCAGTAAAGAACCACTGAACTAAATTATGTTTCTATCAGATTATAGGCATAGAAGAACCTTTCAGTGACTAGTTCTTAAAGGAGCATTTTTCTTCTTAATGTTAAAACCATTTTAGATAATCTAAAGAACATTTTACCATCATAAAAACAATTCTGACTTTTTCCTTACAATTCCGAGTTTAGATACGAACTCAGAATTGCAAGACATAAAGTCAGAATTCTGACATTGCGAGTTTACACCGATGAGCCAAAACATTATGAGCACCTGCCTAATATGCTGTCGGGCCTCCATGTGCTGCTAAAACAGCTCCGTCCCGCCCAGGCATGGCCTACAAGAGCCTGAAGGTGTCCTGTGGTCTCTGACACCGAGACTTTAGCAGCAGATCCTGCAAGTCCTGTAGTTTGAGGTGGAGTCGCTGTGGACTGAACCTGTTGGTCCAGCACGTCCCACAGATCTGGGGAATTTGGAGGCCAGAGGAACACCTTGAACTCTTCATCATGTTCGTTCCTCAAACCATTCCTGATCAATGTGTGCAGTGTGACTGATTATCCTGCTGAAAGAGGCCGTCAGTGAACACCATTGTCATGAAGGGGTGTATCTGGTCAGCAACAATGTTTAGGAAGGTGGCATGTGTCAAATATACGTCCACATCTCGGCGCCGATAGCCTCGTGGGCCGTTGTGCTTCGGGAGACATGAGTTCGAGTCCCGGCTCTATCCTAGGCATAAACGCCAAAAATAAATCTTAAAAAAAAAAAATATATATATACACGTTTCCCACCAGAACATTGACCAGAGCGTCACACTCCCTCCACCAGATATTGTCGTCCCACAGTCCATCCTGGTGCATCACATTCCCAATTAAACAGTACACACGTATACGAGATGTAAAGAAAACGGGACTCATCAGACCAGGTGACCTTCTTCCACTGCTCCAAGGTCCAGTTTATCATAAATCTCTGATTGGTCTCCATACGCAGCAGATGCACTGTGTGTTGTGACACATTCCTCCCATAACCATCAGTTAAATAGTGTGACTTGTGCCACATAGACCTTCTGTTGGCTCGGATCGGACGGGATAGCCTTCATTGCCCTCATGCTTCAATAAGCCCTGGGCGTCCAACACCCTGTCGCCGGTTTGTGTTTTGTTCCTCCTCGGACACTGTTGTTAATTCTCATCACTGCTGACCGAGAGCGACACACAAGCCTCGGCGTTTCAGAGATACTCTGACCCAGTCGCTCTGCCATCACTATCTGGCCCTCGTCAAAGTCACTCAAATCTTCATTTCTGCCAATTTCTCCTGGATCCGACATTTTAATCACGAGAACTGATTGTTTACTTTCCATCTAATCTACCCAGATCCTTGTTAAGAGATGATCAACGTTATTTGCTTTACCTGTGACTGTTCATAATGTTTTGGCTCATCAGAGTATATCTCACAATTCAGATATTTTTTTTCTCATATAAACTTGCAATTGCGAGGAAAAGTCAGAAATGTGAAATAAAAAGTTGTAGTTAGCTTTTATTTATTTTGTTATAGAAACAAGCTTCCATAACAATCACTGTCTGTTATGTTACCGGGACATTGTATTTAACCCGAGCCTTCCCCACGGCATAAGACAGATGACCCATCAGGAGAAATGATGCCGCGCCGGTAAGCGCCACATAGCCGTGCTCTTTAGACAAAACCACCATCTTCAAGACTGAGAAAACAGAAATATCATAGGATATAAATGATGCTGTGTGTAACAGCATACAAGTGCACAACGGAGAAAAATCTAAAAAATATGTGAATCCAGAAATAGTCCCAATTGAGTCTGATTACAGACAGACAAATAGCTGGTCTGTGATATAAAAATCAATAATGTGCTTAGTCATCTCTGTCTGTGATAGTACAGTAACGTCAAAGTGAACTTCAGTTACTATGAAATTCATAACATGACAGTGCTACTAGTCTAGGTCATAAGTAGTAGCAATTAAGTTCAATTCAAGTCATTCTAATAGTTGTCAAAAATACACCGTTCTGTAAAATCAGCACACATGTGGGAACAGGTACATTTTCTGCGCACCCACAACAGTGTAAAAGTGAAAGACAATTATTCAAGTCAACAATCCCACTGTTGCATTATTAAGATTTGTTCACATTGTTCTATTCAGACACAATCAATGCAATATAATATTGTTAATCAAGAGACAGTATTTAAAAGAATTTGCTGCTTTATTGTTACCTGCTCTGTGCTGGTTATCTGGAGGGCGGATTCTGCAGGACAAAGATCGCTTGTGTTTCTACTAGTACTAAGTGTGACGCTTATGGGTAAAGGGTCAATCTCCACAAGTCCCATCCAGTCTGCCTTCAAGAAACAAAATGCACAAATTCAAACATTTGAAAAGCAAATACTTTGAATGTTTTTGTTAAATATAAAATATATTTTAAAAAATATGCACTGAAATAAATAAACACTGGCCATGCTTTGTATATATTATACACATCCCGTCTTTTATTCTCTAATCTTGAATAAATATGTATTTGTAGCCATTTATTATTGTTTTTAGCGCCATGTCAGCAGCAGGGCTATGGCAAAAACAAAGTAACAAAAGTTGTACAATTAACAAAAAACTAAGACATTTAAGACAAGACAAAAATACATTTGGTTGACACTTAAAGGGATAGTTCACCCAAAAATGAAAATTCTGTCATTTACTCATGTTGTTTTGAACCTGTATGAGTTTATTTCTTCTGTTGAACACAAAATAAGTTGTTGTTTTTAAAGGGGTCATGAACTGGCTTTAAAAAAAAATGTATATTGTTGTCTGAGGTCAACTTATGACGTTCGCTTGGTTTTTACATTCAAAAACATCAAAATGAAGGCTATTTTCTACCCTAGTTTTATACACGGGTTTCTTGTATACAAACAATACCGGATGCGCGCGCATCCAGGGGGCAAAAACCCGCTGTCTGTTATGCCGAGTTCTGTAAAAGAACATTGTAATTAACGTAGATTTCGCATTGTTTGTCATTTCTTGTTGACTCAATAATAAACTGCAATTTCAGAGTTGGATCTGTTTGTTTGTGTTTATTAATATAACATTATGTAAAATGTCCAACTGTTTACGAATCAAAATCCGGACATACTGTGATGCATGTATGAATCATGTTAGACTAGTTAGTTTAACAAAGATGAATACATACTGTAACAAATGTTTTGTTCATTGTTAGTTAATACATTAACCTGTATGAATGCACCCAGTTTTAAGAAAACGCAACCTTTATTCACGTCTTTGTTGTTTTTCCGACAGTGCTAGCTAGTTTGTGTCTTTTAGCTCATAGCTTTAACGGCAGACTGTTGTACGTCCCGCTGTTGGAATCCTCTACGTTTACACCGTTTAGCTGTCAGCATTTTAACTGTTTAACCGGGACAATTTCATAGTGGTTGGTGTTACCCGAACCTCTGGTCACCCTACTAATAGTCTACCCACAGCGACACTTGGAATAGATTGTCAACCTCTGGACAACTTTGCACTTTGATAGAATTAGGCTAGCCAGCCATGATGGATTTAAACAATGGATTTGTATTCTCATTGGATGTTTAAAAAGAAAAAAGAAAAGAAAAGAAAAGGTAAGCTGCGATCTTCTAAGTTATATCTGCTGGGTTGGTTTGTGTTAGTGGAACAAAGCTAAAAGATTGTAACTCGAGGCTTCTGCCTTTGCTTTCCCTCTGCTTTTGGAAGTTATGGCAAAAACAACATCATAGAACAATATTGACGCAAGATATTTCTCCACATGATAAAACTGATGTCCATTGTTCCAAATATGGCAATAACTCATTTTTGACAAAATTGAAGTTAAGGTCTTTTGCCTTTGCACAGCAGTATGCTATAACCTAAACCCTTTACTCCGGTACGAAGACCGCGGGTCTTTTGCCCCCTGGTTGCGTGCGCAGGCAGTGATGACGTCGCCGAGAAATCCATGTAACTATGGGCGTCTCGCATTGAAGACTTGGAAGTAAACGCCCACTGCTGTGAGTGGATAACCGTTTTGCATATTATAATGAGTTTCGTGTAATGCACGAATCGGTGGGCGGGGCTAAACCGTCCGTGTTGATCTTCTTCTGCGGGGGACTGGTGGTGTTTTATCCTCTTTGTCGTCATAGTTCCCCACTTTGAAAAACGAGTCGTTTGCTGAGCCTGGTGTCAATAAAAGCTTTTATTGGACTAACAAGGACGTTTTCAGTTCTGAAACTTAGAGGATATTCTTATAATATGATGACCTCTTAGATGTCAAAAGCTCAAGGAAAATTTGATTTCTCAGTTCATCACCCCTTTAATGGTTTCTGTTCCCCCAACTTCCTTTAGTATTTTTTTTTCCTACCATGAAAGTCAATGGGGACCAGGAACTGTTTGGATACCAACATTCTTTAAAATGTCCTATTTTGTGTTCAACAGAAGAAAGAAACTCATACAAGTTTAAAACAACATTTTGATTTTTTAAACAATATCCCTTTAATTACATTAGGTCTCTAAATTTACATTCAAAACAGTGCAGTATAGCAAAACACTACAGCTTTAAGAACATTAAAGTTGTGTCCCAAATGACGCACTTTGCACTCACACGTGTATTGTAATTTGTATGAACTTTACACGGTTATTTTGTCATTGAACAGCCAAGTCTGTTAGCCCCGCCCTCTCCACTACGTAATTAAAGCTGCAACATTAGAGTGCATGGTTAATTGAGTGCAGTTTTTCTCTTTAAAAATGTTCGGTAAACACTTCTCGAAGTATTTATAATGTAAAAGTGCATAAGTGCATTAGAAGAAATTTGGAACACAGTTTTGAATCATCGCATTCTATTATTTCAACAGTATTGAGAGACCCACGGAAAATCTTTAGTAAAAGGTGTAAGATTTATACGATCTGAAGAGAAACATGAGTGTTCTAGCTTCACCACTGCACCAGCACGGACCCGAGTGTAAGGAACACACTTCACGAGAACGGTGACGGACCACACAGTGTGTTCAACATTTAAGATGATCTTATTTGTTGTGAGACTGGATAGTTTGTACCTATTCTATATAATAATAATAAAGTGACTCATCCGGTCTGCTCTTTTTTATTTTAAACGTAATTTCTAGATCAATAAAAAAAAAAATCACACTTATGATCCCTGTTAAACTGACACAGATCAAAAGAGAACGTCTTCTAACATTGTAAAATGTTTAAGATACTGTCAAGAAAACGCGAACACACAACTCACTGCTCTTGAATGATACATTTATTAGCGTTATTATAATAAAATATTCATAAAAAATGAAGACAATGAGAAATGTAGGCAGTTTTATTTTACACTTGTTTACCTCAGCTGTTATATAGCTGGAAATAACCTACATTTGATAGACTATTATATTGCTGGTTGCCCTACTTTTTATATAATTATTTTTTACATCTTATTAGTTTATTAATTTCTTGTCTTTTGTTATTAGTTTGTCTTGAATAATTGCTTAAAGACTTTAGCCCAACTTAAGTTAGCAATGTTTCATAAGAAGTTATTAGTCACTTAATGCCATTTTGATGTAATATTTATGTCAACTTTGTATATAAATCTATATAAAATAAGCAAAAGCATTATTTATGCCCATATCTTCTACCGTATTCTATTTGATGTGAGTGGAAAGTGAGGGCCCAGAATCCCCCTGCATACGATCGCAAGATTTAAAATCAATCATACCATTACAATAACATATTGTGTAGCGTTCAATGCACGATGACATTATTTTAATATATATATATATTTGGTTATCCAAGTGATCTGACTTTAAACAGTAATAAGAAGCCCCGCCGTTCAGCATGGCATCAAAAAATTAGTTTATACTCATTGTGTTCCTCCCCACGGAAATCTTTAGTAAAAGGCGAAAGATTTATACGATCTGAAGAGAAACATGAGTGTACTAGTTTCCTCACTGCACCAGCACGCACCCGAGTGTAAGGAACACACTTCACGAGAACGGTGACGGACACCGTTACCTTTTTTTTACAGTCCTGCCCAAGATAAAACGCGGATAAAACGCGCATAGAACTCACTGCTCGTCTTGAAGGATATTTATTAGCTGTATTTAAAATATTATGCGGTCGCATATTATCTTCATTAAGAAAATGTCTTTAAGATGTTTGATTTAAAATTGATGTGAAACTGACTGTTTAAAGACGTGTATCAGATGTTTACACAGCAGATGCTTTCCAGACAAAGTTATAAGACATTTTGGAGATGTAAGTTAGCCTATCTGGGAACTAAATTGTATAGGCCTACATTTTATATATACAATTATATTCTAATAGTTTATTAATTTCTTGTCTTTTGACATTTTATTAGTTTGTCTTAAATAGGGCTGGGTAAAAATATCGATTTCTCGATATTAATCGATTCTCATTTTTACGAACCGAGATTCTTAAATCTCAAGAATCTATTAGTCATCCTGTTTTCATTTGATGAATGAATGGAACATTGCAGCGCGCATCCCATCCAATAAATCGCAATAATCTTTGTGCTTAGTTACTACAGTACTGATACTAAATAAAGTCTCAAATTACGTCCGTTTTATTGCGAAATTCAAAAACATACCGTAGGCGCTATGGCGTGAGATCGCTCGGGCGCAGCTCAGCTCATGAGAAGCAGCAGCGCAGCCAGCGCTGGTATTATTAGTAGGCTAATTGCCTTAATATTTGCCTTAATAATATTATTAGTAATTGCCTTCTGCCTTAATAATACCAGTTACAGCGCGAAATAAACACGAATGAGCATCTGAAAGTGTGTTAAAAGATAGATTACAACTTATCGAAATCCGTATCATGTCACATGGAATCGCTCAATCAGTGTTTCAACTGTGGAAAGACGGTTAGTAAAACAGCTTGTAAACAATGTCATGTAACGTCACATTTACCTCAGAAAAAACATATGTGACCATAAACTCGTTAGTCAGCTAAAAAAAATAACTCTATAATTAACTTTAGCATTTTGCTAAATATATGCACCATATTATAATTGTAGATGTTCTTCAATATTTAATGCATGTTTGAATAAATCTGGCAAGTTTTTATGACAGCCACCATATAAATGTTTATATTTCATATAACTTTCTTATTATAAAAATAAATAAGTGTAATTTAAGTGTTTGTATAGCTACAAATCAGTTACATTTTACCTTCAATAGTATAGTAGCCTAGGCAAGCCTAGTAGGCTACAACTGACTCCCAGTTTACAGCATTAGTTAAGAGATTTGTTTTCCTTGAGAAAATTTGCCATGTATTGTAGCCTACCTGATATCCAAAATAATCAATATTGAATCGAAAGCTTGTGAAT